GACATGTTCCTCGACTACCTTCAGCGGGCGTTTGTTCCCCCCCTTGCCAATCAGATTGAACAATTGGTGTCCGGTCCTCCGCCACCGACGACAGAGCACCCTCCTCAAGTGAGAATGCCGATGCCCGGTTTGTTCCCATCCCACGAAGACGCCAGCGCATCCAGCCCACTACAACCCGCCTCGTCAGCCCCGGATGAAAGTCCCATGTTCGAGCTTTTGCAAATATACAAGCGTCTTAAGAAGACTCTTCGAACTAACCATATCCATTCGACCTTCAATCACCCCCCTGAAACCATCCACAGCGGTAACGACGAACTCGTCCATACCGACTCTTTGTTCTCGAGCTTCGGCTACAGCATTGCCGCCGTCGAAATCGCACAGCGGGGCGTCGAATCGGAAGCAGGGTCAACTCTTCTTGATAAGATTCCCCAGTTGACGCTCACTCATCTCCGTGTCCTGGCCGAAACTGCCTTATCATATGCTGCAGTCGGGTGTTTGTACAAGAGCGGCGGTCATCACAGCCGTGCCGCGGATGAATTTCAGGAAATACATCGTCAGAAGATATGCCAGTTATTTGTCGGTCATCCTTGTTTGGTCGGCACAGCGCTGCTTGATGGGGCCCGTGATATCGAGCCCATGTTGGCCAAGGATACTTTTGTCTTCCTAGGAGAATGCTCTCTGTCTCTGTTATCCGTGCTGAAGATCGATGTGCGCCACCTCGTCCAGCTGTGCTATGTGGCTGAAATCGTCAAAGTAGCCATGACCTACATCTTGCATCCTCAAGGGCTGAAGAAGGAACTTGCCGAACACGGAGACGCGCATTATCTCTTGGACGTTGAGCTATCGGATGAGCGGTATGAGTATACGCGCCATTTCTTCAACGCCATTGTCGGTGAATTGAGGGAGAACTCGTTCCGTCATGATGAAGGATCTTCGTTTGCTGCAGACAGTGGCTACGTTAAAGATGGCGAGGACTCAGCTACGCCAGGCATAATCATTGCGCTGAGACGGCTGGTATCGAGCTACGCCCTAGTCTTCCTCCGAAAGGTTGTCATCCTGCTTCACGTCCAACATGGCGTCGAGTTCCCGACCGCTGGGTTCAACGACATGGGAGCTTCAGAGTTGGACCAGCTGACAAAACTACTGCAACTTCCCTCTCTCGACGAAATTTTCTCGTCTCTCAACCCTGCGAAGAAAGCCAACGAGCTTGATGCCGTGGTTGCCGGCTGGATCTCTCACTGGAACAGTTCTCGCGTAGGCACCCGCATCACCGACCACCAATTGTGGCCAAGTCTTCCTCATCCGGCTATCTTCGAGCTGATCGGGCTCCCGAAATACTATGACATCTTGATCGAAGAAGTCAACCGGAGACGGTGTCCGAAGACGAAGAAGGAATTGACTGACCCTAGTATTTGCCTTTTCTGTGGAGAAATCTTTTGTTCACAAGCTGTGTGCTGCGCGGTAGACAATAGAGTAGGTGGCTGTAACCAACATCTGCAGAAGTAAGTGCTCCTTCATGTATCCCCTGTTAAGTCCCTCTTTCGATAAGTGCTAACTCGCACACAACTAGATGTGGCAAAAACGTGGGTCTCTTCATCAACATCCGCAAATGCGCGATCCTCTACCTCCATAACAAGAACGGCTCCTGGCACTTCGCTCCATACCTTGACCGCCATGGCGAGGTTGATCCCGGACTCCGACGAAACCGGCAACTGATTCTCAATCAAAAACGATACGATCGACTCCTCCGTGATGTGTGGCTGAATCACAACATCCCTGCCACTATCAGTCGCAAGCTGGAGGCAGACATCAATAACGGGGGATGGGAAACCCTCTGAAGTATTCGCGGGCGAAATAGTGGTAGATATACTCTAATATTTCCGTACTTTTTAAAGCTTCCTATGTGGAATTAGTGTTACATAGCCCTTGAACTCGCCGAATAAAAGCTTTATGACATTCACTAAGTTTCCTGTGCGATGGTACAGTTGGCAATAACCTTCAATTGCAGTATGCGGACTAGAATATTCTCCAACGCCCATCTCTCGTGGGAATGTTTCTTTTCCCTTTCGTATACCTCTCTAAAATGGTTGGCTTGCCCCATACGGATGCAGTATTAGCCTCAAATGCCGCCAAGAACCCTGACGTACCAGTGCGGAGTGTAAAGACGCAGCTCCGCCGCTTTTTTTCCACTCCGCCCGACGATTATCACGCTCGAACATCTGATGCGATAGAGAGGAAATGAACGAGGAAACAATCTGAACAACCAAAATTCATTCTCTTGCGAACCGTTTAATAGATTCGGTTTCTACACCATGCTATTTATGTAGTTATTCTACCTCTACGCTACCGTCTCTCTACGTCTACGATCTATCTTCACCTTCTCTGCCATCATGAACAATCAGCAATTCCGACGACTGGTACTAGACACACCCTCTGCCAGCACTAGAGCCAACAAAGCAAGTCCCGTCGATGAAACATCCCCAAAGCAAGATGCAGGCGTGGTCGGTGCAACGCCGCGCGCTCTAGCCCTCGGATCGAGAATGCGCTCCAGCATCCCAATGACACCGTATGTAACTCCTCCATGCCAACCACGGATCTCCTTACGGGAGAAGAATAGTACAGCAGAATGAACTCCAAGCTAACTGAATGATTTTTGTACCCCAGGCGCTCCGTCACGGGAGTCGATTTCGCGCGACAGTTGGCCGAGCAGCGCCGCGAGTCCCAACAGCCATCCACGAAACGGTTCAAGTCGTCCGCCGCTCCCAAGGGCACAAAACTGCCCACGGGGTACCAGGATCGAGCTGCGCAGCTGCGCCAAGTAGAAAATGAAAGTGGCTCGGATATTGAGAAGCGCATTCAGGCGTTGGAAGAGATGGTTAAGCTGGGGCAGATCGACCAGGCGACGTTCGACAAGATACGGTCTGAACTTGGGGTGGGCGGTGACCTTAAGAGCACGCACATGGTGAAAGGTTTAGACTGGGAGCTTCTGAAGCGCGTCAAGGCAGGGGAGGATGTAACGAAAGCGTCCGAGGAAACGCCGGCTTCGCCGGGATCACATAATGAAGAAGGGCTAGATCAGGCTGAGGATGTGGATGAGGCATTCGATCGTGTGTTAGAGGAGAAAGAGCAGACTGTGCTACCTTCTGCGCCGAAGGAAAAGAAGGAGAAGAAAGGAACCATGGCGCCGCCACTGCTGCCTACGAAGAAAACGCGGGATGAAATACTACGGGAATTAAAAGCTAGTCGTGCAGCTGCGGCAGCTGCTACTTCTACGTTGCATTCTTCTGAGCCAGCATTGGGTGGCAAATTCAAGAAAATTGGTGAATCCAAGATTGAGAAGAAAAAGTTCATTGAGCAGGATGAGAACGGGAGACGGAGGGAGGTGCTTGTGATAACTGATGCAGAGGGCAAGACCAAGAGAAAAGTGAGATGGCTCGACAAGCCTGGTGAGGACAACGGCTTGCTTGTACCTGATAAAGACGCGAAGCCACTGGGTATGGAGGTTCCAGCGGAAATCGCTGCGAAGGTAGCAGCCCCTCCTTCTACGGATCAGGATGACGATATCTTCGCGGGTGTAGGAGCCGATTACAATCCACTAGGAGACGAGGATGAGGACGATAGTTCTTCGGATGAGGATGAAGGGCAGATTCAGACTACAGAGAAGGCAAGCATTAGCGCGAACGAAGAGAAACCCGCTGTCGAGCCACACAAACCTCGCAATTACTTCTCTACCTCCACAAAAGATGAGGCCCCAGAGCCTGACCGTCGTGCTAACCCCCTAACCACGGATCCGACTTTGCTGGCAGCATTAAAGCGGGCTGCTGCCTTGCGGCAGGCGTCACCCTCTGCGGGGGCGGTTCCTGGGGAAGGAGAGGAAGACGTGGATGACGAAACTCTCCTGCGTCGAAAGAAGTTTCTCGAGGAAGCTCGACGCCGCGAAGCGCTGGACGCCGCGGATTTGGACTTTGGGTTTGGGGGGAGTCGCATCGAAGATGACGAGGATGACGAGGCGGTGGTGTTTGAAAACGAAGGGAGCAAGAAGAGGAAGAGGGGTCCCAAGAAGAAGAAAGGAGACAAAAATAGCGCAGCTGATGTGTTGCGTGTTCTGGAAGGGAGGAAGAAAGACTGATCCTGTTGTAACAGTAGCATTCGTGTATGGACGATACCATGGCTATCCTTTCGAATTTGACTCATTTCCACTACTTTGCGTTTCTATTATAGGCATATCAACAATCACTGTTTGGTTCTTCGCAACTAGACCCCAGAAGATCTCATCCTCCCATGTTTTCCGCTTTGTTGTTGCCGTCGTCGACTATATGATTTGACCGCGTGAGACAGAGTACCAGAGTACCAACAAATTCACGTCGCTGGGCGTGTCTGTTCTGTTCTTCTCTCACTCTTCGTCCTCTGTGCACATCAATTACCTCAGTCTTCGTCAGTAGCCCTTTGAAAGTCCTACTGACGTGAAAATTTTCTCCCACGCTTGCTTGTTTCTCTCCACATAAATTACCCTCGCCCTCGACCTTCCTCCATCTTTCCTTCAACTCCCCATCTCACTCTGAGTTGCTCTACCCCTGTAGTTGAGTAGCTTAGAAGTGTTCCTTCTTCTCATCTTCTGACTCGCTACTTCTTTCTTTTCATTCTCCTCCTCTTTCTCCTTCTCTTTACTTCTCTTCTCTTCCCATTTGAACTCACTTATGAATTCATCAGTTGAGTTTCAAGACAGAGCTGCTTGATTCCATCCAAGAGCTTCACTCTTCCAGGTAAGAACCTGAGCTTTTTTCTTCTTTATCATCCAGGGATTGAGGTGGCATGGGTTCACCGAGTTATCCGTTCGAGGCTGCTCCTTCTTTCAGTTAAGGCTGTCATAAAGTGCCCTGGCTGCGAGCTCTCCGGCTCCAGTGAAGCCTGCTGACAAGACTTGACTTCAAGCTTGTCACCCTTCACAGCTCGATAAGAAGCTTACCAGTAAGGCCTTGCCTACGTCAAGGGTGCGAGCTTTACAGCTTGTACGGATGGCCTATAGGTCCTTCATGGTCCTTGGCTTCTGCTGGTGGACATGCCTGGGGCAACACGGATAATCGTGAGAATCTGGCTTGTGTTCTTGCAAGTTTTCGTTCTTTGCTCGTTATAATATTTTTGTGTTCTGTGGTCCTTCTGTGGTCCTTCTCTTCCTTCGTGTCACTTGCCATCCACGAAATACGCAGATCGTACCAAGCTCTTCCACGCGGTTTACGCTTCTGGCTTCTTGCCGTCTTCCTCCCCTTGCCATAGCCTGCTGTCAAAGACAGTCTAAGAGTCGTGAAAACGGTTGGAATTGAGCAGTACTAAGTCTGATGTCGTTCCGTGTCATGCCATGGTACTTCCCTGGATTGATGAGTTCGGCGGAGACGGTGGAAGACCTTACCAGTCATTGTGCTGACGAAGGGGCCTTTGTGCCCCTTCTGTTGAATAGGTTATCGAGACATCTCACTCTGTCGTGACGACACAACAAGCTCTTGGCTCTGCGATGCGCGTTGTAAGTTTCCTTCCATTTGACAGACGACGAGAGCAAAAGAATCTTGCGAGCTTGTGCTAATTATTATCCAGGATGTCCGCCCCTGTATATGGAGGCATTCGTCTCTCTGTTCTCTGATGAAGATATAGGAGGTAAGTGACTTGGTCCATCAGCAGGGCGGGCTGGCGGGAAGCTATGGCAAGGAACTTACCAGCAATTTGCTGACAGTGGACGCGGGGGGTGGGTCGTTTGGTGTAGGGCTTTACATATTCCACTCGTTTCGCTGTGGCTTGCAACTTCAGTCATCATACGGTCAGGTAAGTGACCTCGTCCATGAGCAGGGTGGGCTGGCAGGAAGTTCATTAGCAAGGATCTTACCAGCTTTGTGAAAACACTTTGCTGATAGTGGGCATTGGGGGTTGGTCGTTTGGTGCAGGTACTCGTTCGGACTCCATTTGTCTTCTGCAAGATACGACATCATTTATATAGCATCTTCAGGTAAGTGACTTCTCTATGAGCAGGGTGGGGGTGGCGGGAACTTTATAGAGAGGGAGGAACTTATACCAGTATTTTGTGGAAACACTGTGCTGAGGGAGGAGGTGATGATATAGGGCTTCAACCATGATGGGATCCATTTACCTTCGCGACACGAGGTCAATCCAATGTGCCATCAGGTAAGTGACATCTCTATAGGCAGGGCGGGGCTGGTGGGAGGTTTATAGGGATGGATCTTACCAGTATTGTGGAAACACTGTGCTGAGGGAGGTGGTTGTTGATGTAGGGCTCTATCTCGTCGATATTCCTTTGACGGTCCACTTAACACAACGGCAATCACACAATTGCACTAGGTAAGTGACTGATTTCTGAACTGGGCGGGCTGGAGGGAAGTCCATAGAGAAGAACCTCACCAGCAGTAATGCTGATAGTGGACGTTGGGAGTGGACGTTGGGAGTGGGTCGTTGTTGTAGGACTTCAACCATTCGATCTTTCTCTCTTGCCCTCTTTCAAATAGGGTTGGGGACATGCCACTATCAAGTAAGTGACTCTTCCGTAAGCAAGGAGGGCTGGGCTGATGGGAAGTTTATAGAGGAGGATCTTACCAACATTCTGTGGCATTGTGCTGACGGTGGACGTTGTGAGCTTCGTCGTCAGTGTATGGTCTTTCATCTCACCTACTCATCAGCTCATCCGATTGATCGAGTTCCATTCGAGCGGCATCAGCTGTTCGGACACTATCTAGGTAAGTGACTTCTCTATAGGCAGGGCGGGCTGGTGGGAAGTCTATAGAGAGGAAGGATCTTATACCAGTATTGTGAAAACACTTTGCTGAGGGAGGTGCCTTCCGGTCCTCCAGTTCTTAGGCTTCCATATGCGGTTCACTTTGTACTGCGGTTGTACAGCAACACAGTCCGTTGGGCTCTCAGGTAAGTGATTATCTCGTTTGACATGGAGGAGTTGGCCAGAACCTGATCGAGAAAGCCTTACCAGCATTCGTGTGCCTGTCGCCCTTCGCTTATATTGTCTGAATGACATCGAGACGCTCACCTTAACGATTTTACGACCATGTGTCTAGCGGCATTTACCATTCCTTTCTAGGCAGGGAGGGGCTGGTGGGAAGTCTGTAAGGAAGATCTTGCCGGCATTCGTGCTGACGGGGCTGCTTTGGCTCCTCCAGGTAATACAGGTACCATTCCGTTCAATTGTTCCGTCTGCGCAAAAGTGACCGGCCCGCTGTAGTCCATCCGATGCTCAAGTCATGACAATTCTCGGAAACAGGGAACATGACAGGAATTCTGCCACGGGCTTGGAGTTGAGTTCAGGCGCTTGTGACTGAGTATCCGATAAATGCTCATGAAAAGCGCGGCGCCTAACTCAGTGCACGGAAGGACAAGCATTCTGGGATTCATTTAGCGTTGGAACGCTGGGCCCTATGCTAGCAGATAGAACCCAGTGCAACAGATGCACGATCCGCCTGGGGAGATCTTTTGGCGGCACAGGCAATCATGGTTTTAGTAAGTTGTACAAAGCCATCAATGCGAACCACCAGGTTACCTATCTACATTCGGTTCATATTCAGTCAATGTGAATGCCACAACTGCAGGAGGACCCCATCCAAAACAAGCAGTAAAGATGATGCCGTCCAGGATGGCTCTTTTGTACATGAAGGGAAAACGAGATCCGAAATACAAGGGGAATAAGATGTACTCATAGTATAGCAGGGAAATCGAAGGCTAGTATACTATTGATTCGAATTCTGGTATGCACCGACTCTCGGTACTTATAATTTCAGGATGCTATTATGACGATCTCAGTCTCTGAGTCTCCTCAGGCCAGGCAGGGCATTGTCTCCCCAATGCGGATTGGCTAGGGGCGATTTGGTTGAGCCAGCGCCTTGACATTTCCGCAGGTAGAGGAGTAGATTGAAGATAAAGTAAGTATTCAGTTCAACCTTGATTAATCGTTATAGGCGTGGCCTCGGAGATTTGTGGAAAGTGGTCTACGAATCTCCTACCAACGGACAAGGATGATTACCGAATCGGGTAATGACTTCATGATGAGTCGGCGAAGGATGTCCCTCACAAGCTGAGGCGAATCCCCCTAAGCTTATAGTTGAGTCCGCAGCGATTCTGGAAGATTCTGAAAGGAAGTTCTGCCGGCTGGAGGGGAGTGTCAAAGCCTTCCTTTGGTACAGATATCGTCCTTTTTGTGGCATCCGGGGTATTCCTGGTGTGCTGCAGTCGACTATAAGCGTTACGGCTTCTCCCAGCTGATTTCCTCTTACAATTTGACCTCAATACATGGATCCGAGAATCTGACAGAGGTTACCATCAAGGTACAGTCCCCATTGGTCGGCGCTACGCCGGGAAGACCGCCGCCAGGCAGATATCATGCTTGCCACGCAGCGCCACTCTTTGATAGCTCAGTGGCTGCTGTCAAACGTGGAGCCAAAAAGCCTACGAGGGTCATCAGATGGATGTTCCAATGTCAACCCTGTGGTTTACCTCAGCCCCTCTGACGGTGGCCCATTCCCGTCCAATACCTGACCCCGAGGAAAGGACGAACGAAGGAAACTGTCCAAGTTCAACCATGGGCAATCAGTCAGGAAGACCGAGGCAGTAGTCAGACCTAGGAGGAAGTTGGCGGCGAGGCATGGTTCTAGATAGAATACCCTTTCTTCGCTGCCGGTGTGGACGAAGGGAATCCTGGCGACAAAGTTCATTCTCATCGAGGCTAGCTTTAATAAGACATTTTGATATGGCGACAGCCACATCGCCACGTCCACGTCGTCTGGTTTACCAGTAACAAGACAGTCTGCCTTGACATTTGCCCTTGAGGGCGTGGTCGAATAAAGCGCACACTAGGGGGCTAGTGGGCAGACCGGCGATGCTTGGTAGTGGCGGCCCTCAGCGATCGGCGTGTTTCATGTTTTCTTAGTGTGCAGATAGTGAGAGAGTCAAGCCGGAGCACTAGCAGCATACGTATGCAGGACAGCCACCTCGTCAAACTTGATGTCAGTGGTCTCAGATGCTCGAATTCTTTGTTTCTTGCGATGAATGGCGGCTTGTTTGTCGGTCAGCTAGATAGATGCAGGGCTTCCTGGACAATTCCGCCCAGAGAGTAATCAAACACGCCGAGGAAATTGAGAGTAACCATTCTGTAATAATATCGTGCGGTCAAATGGAACGGGAAATCTGAGTTTCTGGTCTGGACTGTCGTGGATCCCCAGTGGAGCACTGCAAAGACCGCTAACGACACCCGGATGAGAAATGGTCGACTAAAGCAGGAGTAACAATCAGTAGTCCAGACCCCGATGCTCTCTAAATAGTATGCACTGTTCTAATTGACGTGTCTCTTGTTGTTTCCATAATTCTAGAAGACTCGATCATTATTGAACAGTGTTGAACAGACTTCGGGAAATAAAAATGGGCCCGACGAGTGTCAGTAAGTAGCCTTAGGCGCCGAGGCAGTCCAGATCCAATCATGTCGACTCCGTTTGATCCATCAATCGTCATCTTCATCCTCAGGGTTCTTTGTGGCCCACATTCTAATCCATTCTGTCTGTCGGTGGTGCCAAATCATCTTCACAGCATGTGAGCTGTCTCCGGCTGTACGTGTACCTGACAGACATGTCTCTTCCATAGGCTCAGTGGTTGAGCCGTCCTCCACCATGGATGGCTCCTGATGGAGTTCCGTGGATGCGTGTTCTCCTCAGGAACAGAACCCCATCCCTACAAATCAGATTGCTGGATTCGGTGAATTCCCGTCAGAGGAAAACAAAACAGGAACAATGGCAATAATATTGTCTTTCATGAGGATTGGCGCCCAGACTCTCATTAGAAGTGTCTCTTTGTGGCGCCTACCCTAACAGACACAATCTTTTAAATGTGCCTCTTCCCCTCCTCGACCTCTTGACGCTCTTTCATCTTCTTCTTCTTCTTGTCCTCTTACTCTCTTTTAGAATCTGCTCTTGCTGTTATTGTCTTGTGCAGTGCACGGTCAATAGTCATTCCTTTCTTGTGACTTTATCTGCTGCTTGCTTGCTCAAGCACACCCTCACTCCCTTTTCCACTCTTTGAGAACCTGCTTCTCAGCTCGCTCCTTACTCTACCTACCTGAAGACAAAAGGAAAAGACGAATCAAAATGGTCTCCCTCAAGAACCTTCTCACTGCCGGCCTTCTGGCCTCCTCCGCCGTGGCCGCCCCCCACGGCCACCAGCACCGCCACATCGAGAAGCGCTCCAGCACCAAGCGCGGAGCCGCCTACAACGATGCCTCGACCGTGCAAGCCCTCGGCAACACCGGCTCGATTTCCTGGGCCTATGACTGGAACATGTTGGCCTCGGGTACTCTGCCCTCCGGCGTCGAGTTCGTGCCCATGCTCTGGGGTAGCAAGATGTTCGGCGGCTGGCTCGCAGCCATCGAGACGGCTCTCGCCAGTGGCAGCAACTACATTCTGGGCTTCAACGAGCCCGACAGTAGCGCCCAGTCTGCTATGTCCCCCTCCGAGGCCGCCCAGGCCTACAAACAGTACATCACCCCCTACAGCGGCAAGGCCAAGCTGGTTTCCCCCGGTGTCACCAACAGCCCTTCTGCCGGCGAAGGCCTGGACTGGATGAACAGTTTCCTGCAGTCCTGCACCGACTGCGGTATCAGCACCCTGGCCGTGCACTGGTACGGTAGCTCCGCTGACGAGTTCAAGACCTTCGTCAACCAAGCCACCTCGTTCGCTTCCGAGAAGGGTCTCGAGAGTGTCTGGATCACCGAGTTTGCCCTCAGCAGCGACCTCAGCACCGGCGCTTCATCCAGCGAGTCCGCCCAGTTCCTCAGCGAGGTTCTGCCCTGGTTGGACTCACAGCCCATGGTCGGTCGCTATGCCTACTTCATGTGTGCGGATAACTACCTGCTCAGCGGAAGTGGTCTCACCTCCACTGGCCAAATCTATGCCTCTTAAAATGTTGTTATTTACTGTGGTCCTAGTCTTCCCATGATCAGTGGGGTGAATATGTGTACCCTTACTGCATAAAGTCTGTGTGAAAACTGAACTAAGCATTGTGTACCCTAAACGAAGTGAAAAAGAAAGCACACTGCAGATAAAGACCGGCCCAGACTCTGTTTTTAGCATTGCATTTACCTTGAGAATTCTATTTTTCTGGTTCAAAATCAAATTACAACGTAAAGTATAGGCCCCATAATTTATAACAGATTCATTCTTAAGTCTATCACTTTACCCATTAAGGGAAGGTGAAACTTGTGATAGATATTGATCAACGCCAGAGGAGGGGTCTTGCCTGTGACTTCAAATGCATTATTTATGTGTTTATCTTCTGAACCATGGAATTGTGGGAAGAAAAGCATGGAAAGCACCCTGATTGGTGGACATTAGATAATTTCAAACACGAATGCTACAGACTCAATGCTGATTGGGAGAACCATTGCTGATCTAGTTAACCCTAAAATTGAACTACAGGCACAAAGCATAATAGAAGGATATTATTTGGTCCATGGTCGGTTAAAAAGGGTAGAATAGTAACGATTCGGTTTTGGTCCCATGTGAAATCCGTACCTCGCTGTGTCTCTGTCGGTGTACCCCGCTATGCTGAATTGAAAGTGGCTCTTCACGCATGGTAGGTATGAAGATGAAGATGAAGATGTAGACGTAGACTAGTGCATGAGATTATTGATAAGGCAGTACAACTCCAGGCGCCGGGGTATCCTAATATACATCCGCAAATGCAAACCATCCGTCATTCCATCAGTGTGTCGCCGTCTTGGTCTTTGGTCTCGTCAGGGCCGTCCCCCTCTTCGGGTTGCGGAGTAGGTTCGACTTCGACTTTGAGACCGTTCACTGCTTCGTCGGCGACGATGCCATTTTCGGCTTTGTCGATGCCGCCATCGTCAGCACCGTCAGCATTGTCTCCGTCTCCGTTTACTTCAGCTTTCACGGCGGCATCGTCGCTTTCGGCTGCTTCTTCCTTTTCCTCCACCTCCTCCCAGACCCGGAGTGTCCCGTCCAGTCCGCAGCTCGCCATGAGCCGTTTCTCTCCCAGACTGCATGTATCAACGCCCAACACCACCCCGTTATGCCCCTCTAGCCGCTGCAGGATCTTCTTGCTCACCACATCCCAGCAGAGGATCGAACCGTCCTCGCTTCCGCTGACCACAAACGCTTCCGGCGGCGCCCCCGGCAGCCCGTAGCTTCCAAACCCGCCCAACAAGCTGTATTTCCGATTCACGTGGCCCTGGTACGTCTTGATGCATCGACCCTCGACGTAGTTCCACAGCCGCACGCAGTCGTCCAGCGTCCAGGCGAGCACAAACTTGCCATTGGGCGAGAACTTGACCGCCGTCACGGGCGGGTTGTCCTCGTGCACAAGCGTTCGCAGACACTGGCCCGTCGCCGTGTCCCAGATCCGAATCAACCCGTCCGTGGCGCATGAGACGATGAGCGTCCCGTCCCACACGACGTCGATCCCGCTGACCGGGTCGGAGTGTGCCGGCAGCGATCGCATCACGCTGGCGGACCGAACATCCCATAGAAAGACCGCTTCATCGTAAGATCCGCTGACCAACATGTTGCCCTTTGGGGAGAAGGCAATTTGATAGACGTAGTTGTGGTGGCCAACAAATGGAATCGGGTGAGCTTTGCCCTGTCAATCGAAGAAAAGACATTAGTTTGGTCAAGACGGAGGTGTAGACACATGGCATTACCGTCAACACATTCCACAGCCGGATGGTCTTGTCATCCGACCCCGACGCGATCGTGGCCCCGTCCGGACTCCACGATATTGTGGAAATACCCGCCAAATGTCCCTCAAATGTATGGATGAGCTTCCCGCTGCGCGTATCCCAAACCTTGACGGCTCCGTCGGCCCCTAGATACGTCAGTCACACCCCATGTTACGGTCGTGCCTGACAGATGAGCATACCTCCACTGGCGATCATGGTAGAATCAGGAGAAAATTTCACCGCCGATACACCCCGTAGATGCCCTCTGAGCAAGAACTTTTGCTGATAAGTCAGTTTCTCCGGCTTGGGCGGCGGCGGAGGGGCCCGCGGAGGCACTGGCGTAGGCGACCGGTCCGAATACTCCTGGTCAACCTCTGCATCCCCAGTGCTCTCTTCTTCATCTGCCCCAAGCTCGTCATCCTGATAGCGCTCCGACAACGGCTCCTGGGCGCTCGTCTCCGAGTGCGACGGGCTGCGTCCGCGGTTGCGGGACCGCCAGTAGACGTCGGCATCGACGGCCAATTCATCAGGAGATTCCGAGCCGCTGAAGCTCCGCGTTCGACGGTAGGGTCGTTTAGGGGGGTACACCTTTTGCGCAGTCCAGCTGACGCGACGACGTTGCTCCTCATGGTCGGAGAGAGCCGCTAGCTCATCCGACGAGGAGTCGATGGGCGAATAAACATGATTAGGCTCGGGAGTGCTAATCTTCTGCGTAGACTCTAGTCGGCGACGTTTAGAGCGATGATCTGAATTATCCATTTGGGCCGTGTCAATCGACTGTCAAGAAGCTAGGGATGTGAATCTCAATGGCAGAGACTTGTGATAACAATCCCGCGATAATGAAAATCACGCGGGCCAATGACGCCTTGCGGCCTGAGGCGGTGAAGACGTGACTTCATCGTTTTGTCCTCCATTTTCCAGGCTATCGCAGGTTTCTGGATTCTGGCAAGAAACTGCTTTAATTTCATTTCTGCCGATAAATCAATTCAAGAATTCTCCTATATAACGTTCGTTGATTACTTGATATACCGACAGCCACCATGGACCCTTCTCGATCTCCCTCTCCGTCGCTCTCCTCCCCGCCCTCCGAGATCCGCATCCTCAGCCTCAACTGCTGGGGCCTCAAATATATCTCCAAATACCGCCATGAACGACTGTCGGAGATCGGCCGTCAACTCGCTCTCGCCGATCCTCCTGCCCAAATCGTCGGTCTGCAAGAATGCTGGACGCAGCAAGACTACGAGAGCATCCGCCAGCAAACCAGCCACATCCTCCCCTACGGCAAGTTCTACTTTGGCGGCATCTTCGGTGCGGGACTAGCCATACTCTCGAAATGGCCCATTGAAGAAAGTACCATGTACCCCTATCCGCTCAACGGCCGGCCCACAGCCTTCTTCCGCGGCGACTGGTTCGTCGGCAAGGGCGTCGCCTGCGCGCGCATCCGTTTCGGACCCGGAGTCGGCGACGTCGCAGAGGTCTTCTGCACACACCTGCACGCCCCCTACGAACGAGAACCCAACGACTCATATCTCTGCCACCGAACCGCGCAGGCGTGGGAGATCGCCAAGCTGATGCGTGGCGCGGCGGAGCGCGGACATCTCGTCATCGGACTTGGTGATTTCAACATGATTCCCTCGAGTTTTGCGCATCAGCTTATCCACGCGCATGCGCCCGTCCGCGATGTCTGGCAGGTCCTGCATCCGGACTCGTCTGTTGGCGCCACGATCGACCCGTCCGAGCAGAGACGCAATAGGCCCGTCCCCACGGCGGAGTTCAACCTGGTCGAGAACGGCGCCACCTGCGACGGCAAGTTCAATACCTGGCGGTGGAGCAAGGAGGATCGCAAGCGTCTGGAGAAAGGAGAGGATGTGGTCGTCGATAAGGACGCTCCCTGTACCCACGGAAAGAGATTGGATTACATCTTCGTCGGGGACGGCGGGTACCCGCCTGCCTATCCCGCTCCGCGCTGGTCGGTCCAGTCCGTCGGCGTGGGCATGACACAGCGGCACCCGACGCTACGCTGCTCGCTGAGCGACCACTTTGCCGTTGAAGCTGTCATCAGCCGGACGGCCTCTCACACAACAGAACCGAAGGAAGTCGTGCATCCCGTATCCAGTGCCCCGAATGCCAGCTGTACGCCGGACACATACGACCGCATAATAGAAATGATCGACAAGTACGTCCGCCGCGAACGCTCCCAGCGCCGCTGGCGCTTGGCCCATTTCGTGGCGTCGGTTGTTGTCTCGATCGGCTGCTTTGTCGGGTCCTGGTGGACCGGCGACCATCTCCCATATGTGGCCTTCATCTTGTGTCTGGTGAGTACGCTGAGCTTCGGGGCGGGAATCTTGGATGGGCTGATTGGGGGATTATTTGTGTCGAGTGAGTTGCGGGCGCTCAAGGAGTTTGAGTGGGAGGTACGCAATGCGAAGCGCATCGTTGAGCAAGCGGGTGCCCGGGGAACGACCAAGATTGAGGAGAGTCCATGACTTGGGTTGTTAGGCTTATAATATTACGACTGTATATATTTCTACGGTAGGGGTCGCTAAGTGTAATAATATATTAAGTTACGAGAGGACGTTGAATAGAGTTCAATGAGTGTCATTTCAAAGACTATTCGTGATCAATCCATGTCGTGAAAAGAGTGAAATGGAATCCATTCATTACCGAATTGCATTGCATCCAGCATTCACAGCAGCCATTTACTCGGCACACTGGCGCTGACGCTCATCAAAGACCTTAAGGGCCTCCTCGGCAGCCTTGACACCGCTGAGCACCATGGCGCCGAAGGTAGGCCCCATACGGTTGAAGCCGTCAATCTCAGATAGCTCCATTCCGCCGATGATCAGACCCTTGGCAACCTCACGGGTGTTCTTGACAATAGCATCCTCGGCAGAGTTCATGTCGAGGCCGCGCATGCCACCGAGCTTGTCAACAGTGTTCATCGACACGAGTCTCTTCGCGCAGAAGGCGCCAAAGGGGCCGTCGTGACCCGTCGTGCTGATGACCACGGGCGCATTGATGGTGTTGGGGTCCATGCAAGAGTGGTCATCGTGGTGCAGGGTGACGAGGGTCCAGTTGACGACCACGCCAGCAATCTGAGTGTCCTTGGCGTCACCGCTAGCGGAGGGCCGGGTGACCAGGTCCTCGACCGCAGTGGCGTTGAAGAGCTTGACGTTGGGGAAGGAGAGGACCTTGGACATCAGGGTGGAGGTGAAGAGGGAGGCG